TTTGATTGAAAGTTTTCATTCGTCTTTCAATTGTCTCATTTTGATCTCAGCTACAAGAGTCTATCGGAAATATGTGATTGAAAAGATATGTGTCAAAAGGTAAAATGATAATCTTAGCCGATTTTATGACTAAAGTCTACTTTTAGACAAATTTCCGAAAATTCCTGTCTTATCTGCACCTCTAAAATGAAATGTGTACTACATTTCTAAACGTCAATGGACTTATCTAATCTTGACCATCTTGACCATCGGCGCGAGATCAATTCCGATTTGGATCTCCGACATTGAAAACACGTCATTTGCTGCTATTAGTGCAAAATTAGTCTACTAACTTTACTATGTTTTAACTACTTTTGCGTATTCTAAAATGGAACAATTTGTAAACTAATCAACAAGGATCTTTCCAATTCCTTGTCAACTATTCATAAGATATTGCTCAAGTAGCCAGAATCTCAACTTGATCGATTAGTTCAAAACGAGCAGCAAAAACAACTTACTCTATTTTCCTTAATAGAAGCATATTAAAGCCTTTAATGGAGGCTTAGAATGATCCATTATTAGAGAAAACACGCATGCATTTTGACTTACTTTGTATCACCTCTTGAGAAATTGATAAATTTAAAAATCAGCACAAAATAACCCTCAGGATAGCAAGGATTTGGCTTGTCAATTGAATCTTTACCGATTAGATTAACCAATCGAATTGATGAGTAATGAATATTGAGCTGATAGATTGAAAGGTGATAAATTTTAACGTATTGCAATATCGAAATAAGTTAAGAGAGTCTAGTTTGAAAAAAAAGTGGATGCTTTAAGTGGCATGTGTATGTCTCTCTTCAAATAAATCAATCCGCTATTTGAAAACACACTTTTTCTTTCATCGTTTTGCAAAGTGATGCAAAAATTTTGGTGATTGTGGTTGGCTTCTTCAAAAGTCAACTTAATTTCAATATTCAATTCCTTTCTTGAATAGAATGGTCCATGGAAAAGGCGAAGGTTTCTAAAGCTCTTGTTGACTTGCCAAAACATGCATGGCGAATTGATAAGTCTCAGAGTTTTAGCTGCTTTAGAGTAGATTTGAAAGGGAAAATGTTACATTCGAATTTGATTTGGGCAGAAGATCCAATTTCTAACTGAAAAGCTGTTGAAAATAAACTGAAATCTTGCCTCGAAAAGTCAAATAAAAAACTTTTCAAATCAATACTCTTATTTGAGAATTTACCAGCAAAGTTTGAAAAGCAAAGTTTGCTTGTAAAGGAAGAATCTAGGAAAAGGAAAACGGATTTCAGAGCAACCATTGGGTGCAGAAGCTGGAAAAGATTGCCAAGGCGGGAATACCCGGTGGAAGTGCTGCAGAGATTTGTAGACAAATCGAGCTCAATGACGTGTTTGAATAAGCTTTTCTCTCTCTCTCAACTTTGATACAAAGTGTGCAAAGAGAAAAACTTAATCATTTAGCTCAACCTTTGTTTTCTAAATCTTAAACAAATCCTTGAGGTTCAGAAAAAACAATTTATTTCTTTCGGAAGACATTGTTTTGGAATTGTCCACCGTAGTTGCCCGGTGGGTCGTAGTTGCAAACCAAGTAAGTGGATCCATCTCGACCTGTCGCAATGCCAACACCCTGTGAGTCGAATGTTAAAAATCTCTTCTACGGTAAATAAATGATAAACTCTAGAATCATGTGAAAAGTATTAACCCGCCAGACGAGTTGAGTGAAGTGTCCAGTTGAACCAGAGAACCCGCCCCAACCAAAAGAATAGCTTCGCACCTCGTCGTACCAACCCTTCACCAGACTTTGCACTAAATTTTAAAGATTGAAAAAGATGCCGATTGAATTTGAAATCATTATCTAGGCCTTACAGATCTTTATCTTTCAATAATTGCTGGCTGCTAAACTTTTTCACTCACTTGTCCCATAGTGTCCACTACCCATTGCAAGATTCTCTCCATATCGATTGTTGGATCGATGATTAAATGAGCCAGTCGATGCTAGACGGTTTGCCCACTCTTGTGCAAAACTAAAAAAAAACAAAACTCGAGTTAGAAAACGTAAAGGCGTTCACTTATTGAGACTATTGTTGAGTTTCAGTGGGCCGACTTGATGCTGGGCTCGATAGTAATTGTGAAGATCGAGAACCTGAGTTATCGTTTCAAGTTGTTTTAGCATCAGTTCTCAAAAGCTTTGTTGTTGTTCTATTTTATTATAGAAACCGTTGTGGAATCCTGTTCTCCAAAGCATTCTCTCATCGTTAAAAAAAAAAGAAAGTTTATACGGAATGTGTTTCTTTTTAGCAAAGAAAAGAAAACTTTCATGAAAAGTAGTGCTTGATTTAAAATCAAGAGCTTGCATAATATTCAAGTAGGGCAAGCGCACTATCCACCAAGTTACGAGCACACTTTTGATATGCCTCAACGAGATCTCTTTCCTGAAAATTCGTGCGAAATCCGATAAAAGCTTTCAATCATTAACTTTGAGGCCATTTTTTACCGATTTCCACAAACCTTTTCGTGGTTTTGTACAGGGTAAATGACCCGCGCTTAGTTCAAATTCACATTTTGAACTTTGATCCCGAATCGAAATTCATTGTTTTCTAGTAAGAATGAGCTAGATTTTGGAAATAATAAGTAAAACGGAGTAAATGAAGCTGCTTTTCTTTGATTTTGAGCCATTGAAACTAGTTACAAAAACCAGAAAATCTCGATTTTACCGCAGGAGACGCGTGTTGCAACTTTACAGCGCTCTAGCAAGAGTTTTTTGTGATGTCCTCCAAGAACTTAGGATCCACCTTGAGAAGTGATTATGAGGATGGTTCGTGTAAGCATAAAATACCTCTTGTACTGATTGCTCTTCTGATTGCTCTTCTTCTTCCCCATCTTCTTCCACATCATCTTCCTCACTTTCATCGTCTTCCTCACTTTCATCCTCTTCCTCATCTTCATCTTCTTCCTCATCTTCGAATTCTTGAACTTGATTCCAATTTTTCTGCTCTCCTCCTTGTCGCACTCCATTGACTGTCACAGTGACTGTTCCATCTGGATGATAGGTTTTCACCGTCACCGTCTTCACTCCATTACAGATTTGAGTCATCGTCTCGGTTCGAGTGCCACCTCCGCCTCCGCCTGGAAACAGAATTTTGCTAAACAGAATGCTCGCGCTAAGACACAACATCCTGACAAGGGAAGGTCAACTATATTTGATGGCCAAATCATATGAGCCATACCATTCGACGCAGAATTTAACGCTGGCTATGATGTCTTTCTTTTTTGCTAGACGGAAAAAGACAATCAGCAACCAGACTCGAACAGGAGAGCCTTCGACTTGTCCCCTAACTCACTACCACTCGGCCACTGCTGCAACTGCTGAGCTCACGGAAACCACGGTTGTACTGTAAGGAGTTTTCGAAACTTTTTGCAAAACTTTAAACGCGTAAAACTTTTGACAGAGTGCTCCGTAGCAAAAAAGAAAAGCAACATCATGATCGACGTGAAATTCTGCGTCGAATGGCCTTTGGCTAGCAAATCCAGTTGGCCTTCCCTTGTAAGTAAATACACTTCTAGTGCTAGCCAGAGAATCCAGACAATTGTGACAATCTCTCTTACAAGCTCATTCCTTCTCAGTTTAGTCTAGGACAATGAATGCAATAGACTGAAGCTGAAGAAACTTTTTTTTAGCTGATGATAGATGGGACCGATTAAAAGTACTATAACCCACATCCGCCCATTGACAATTGGTTCATTTGCTGCTGCATTTGCTGTTGCATTTGTTGTTGCATTTGTTGTTGCATGGGACAGGACATTTGGTTCATTTGCTGTTGCATCGGACAGGTGCTGAAGGTCCGTCGGCTACACATTGTTGCAGAAGAGAAGTTAGTTGTGGTTGAAAGTGAACTGAATTCAATGCTCTCCACTGATCCGTGCTTTCTTATATTCTTGTTCATCTTATCTTTTTATATCGCAAAGAACAGCGGCCCCATTTGGCACGCCACAAAAGGCTTTTGAGATGGCACTAGGAGAGGGCAATAAAGAGTCCAGTTAAATCGAATAAAAAATTCGTTGCGCCACCTCTGATTCCGTCTTCTCCGAGAATCTTTTTCGTTGTGGCAAGTATTTTCTTTTTTCCAGGAATTCTGCTCAATTGTGTTGCACTTTTCAGTTCTCTACAAATAGGGAATTGAGCGTAGCAAGACAAAGAAAATGAGTGTTGATTTGAAGAGTTGATTCCATTTAAAACAATATTTTTTACTGTTTTAATAAATCTAGATCAATCAATTGCAACAAAAAAGGAATGAGAATTCTTGGGAAAAAGTTTTAAATAAAAGTTAAACGTTTGTTTAGTTAAAAATAAAGTCATAGCTTTTTATTTAAAATTAATTAGAAGATATGGGATCAAAAATGCTCCTCAAGATTAATAAAAAAGAAACTAAAAGATTGACTTTCGATAAAAATTAATATTCCAAACATCTAATAGAAAAAGTACGGTAAAAACATTCCGCTAAAAACAGAATTGCGAATTTTCAAAATTGATAAACTTAGAGCATCATCGGGTTCGAGCATCAGAACTTAGAGCATTATTAGAGGGAGCCTTCAAGAGCCTTTCTTAATTTTTTGAATGTTCAATGTCGAAGATCTCAAAAAGGTATTCTCTACAGTTAACAAACTTTTTCTATTCTTGCTGATGTCCAGCAATTAAAATGCAAATTAGGTTTGATTCAGAGACGATTTCATTTTCGAATTTTCGTTGTCATGTCGCAGAATGACCTTCCCTTTCTTTGGCCTTTTTCTTTACAACTTCAGCCGATTTAGCTGATTAGTGTATAATAATACTGTAATGGCTGTCCCTTTAGATAGCAACTCCCAGTGAATAGGCCCCAGTTTCCAAGCTTTCACACTTTGCTGAAATTCTGTAGGAAGGGCAGGATGAGTTTTCCGGTTTCGTTTGATTTGATTGTTTGATTTTTGCACTGTTAAAAACAATTTTTCCGTTTATTTGTCAATCAAAGCTCATTTATCAATTTCCGCGTGTCGCATTTGTGGTTTTGATCTAGAAAAAAAGATTGTTTTCTAAATGTGAACAGTCTCAGAATTTCACCAACCTTCAAGCTGCTCGTCAGGCAATCGTTCCTTATCTTTCCTGTTTCGACGATCTCTCTGAAGATGTTTATACAGGCTAAGACAAAGGTTCGCATGCTTTTTCTCTAATTTTGGTCCAGAACAAGACCGTATCAAAGTAGGCGGGAGGCAAAGAAAGAAGAGAAAAAGTGAGGAGAGGCAGGGAGGAGCCAATGGGATAGAAATACTTTGTACGGGCCTTGTTGGGGATTTTGTTTAATCATTCTAATTTTAATCATAAAAAAAGTTTTGTTTGATTGGGCTGTTCCAAAAGTCTTTTCGCTCTTTTTCGTCTTTCTATTGGGTTGGGGAGAATGAGTCGGCGCCGAACTTTAAAGGGACTTTTTGCACACATAAAGCCTTCTTTAAACATACGTTTGGTTTCATCAAAACGATCCACTATTTCTCTACAAAATCACTTTTGAGAGATCCCACAAAGCTTTTCTTTTGTGGAGTTTATGAACTTCCAAACGCAGCTGGTTAAAATGGCAAAGAGTCCGACTCATCATTTGAACAGTTTCTTTCACATAAACCTTCTTTGGTGTTTATATAAAAAGATAGAGCACATTCAATTACTTAAGTGGCCAAATTTGCAGGAAGATCCCACCAATGGTTTTTTCTAGATCACAGTTTGTAGTTTTTGTGAAAAAATGGCTTTTTCTTGAGCGGAGGCGCTGTTTGAATTTTCTTTTAAATGCCATTTTGTAGAGAATTAGTTAACCATTCTACTCATATCAAACGCATATTATTTGACGAAGTCGAATAGAAGTTTTAGACATTCTTTTGATTTTCGGCGCCGACTCATTCTCCCCAACCCAATATCTTTAGGTCTCTGAGAGTCGAGGGATCTAAGTGAAAGGAGTCTTTGTTTACTTCGCTTCGATATTATTGGTTGCCCAAATGAAATGCTGTTTTATTATTTTTATTTTTTGTTTTCTTTAGAAGCTACCGAAAATCTACCCATGACTCATATTCGGCACTATTTTTCGAAAAAATCAATAGTCTTTTTAAGCTTTTTAAGCTATTCAAACGCTGCTTCTGAAACCGAAATTAACAATTTTTACGGAATGGTTCAGTGACACAATGCACAATTCAAAACTGGTATCATCGTTTTAAAACTTAAAATTTCCTTTTCACCCGAAGATCAGCCAAGGTCAAGGCGCCCGTGTGACTTCGATGAAACGGCTCTACCTAATCTTATGAAGGAGGACAATAAACAAACAATCCGTCATTTAGCTCCACAACTACAGTGTGGTCATACAACGGTAGAAACCCATCTCCACGCAATGGACTACACTTCAAAATTTGAGATTGAATCCCACATGACCTCGCAGACCACATGAAACGGCAGCGACTCTCTATCTCTCTACACACGGTATTACCGCCGATCAACACGCGAGAGCACACACTGCGAAATTGACCAAAGAAAAGCTGATGGAGTTGAGCTGAGAGGTTCTCCCTGATCTTCCCATATTCTCCTGAATTAGCCCCATCGGATTTTCATCTTTTCTGTAAGATGGCCGCGGAATTGGAGAACGAGCACTTTAAAACCGTCGATGAAATCGAAAAATGGTTAAGTGACTTCTTTGATCGCCAGCCCCTCTCATTCTGGAAGAAGGGGATCCACGCTTTGCCATATAAATGGGAACAAGTGATACTTGATAATGTTGAATATATCTCATGAATAAATGTTTTGGCTTTCAAGAATTTACAATTCAAAAACTACGAAAAGCCTCAGCCTAATAGAAAAACGTTTTTTCAATCTCAAATTCATATCCCTAAACCTGAAAATTATTGACAAAAAGTCGCGATTTTTCTGAAGCTAAGGTGCTTTCCCTGTTTGTGGATTGTAATTTGTGAAATGAAAAAGAAACTCACACAATACCAGCCAAACCAAAGCACGCAGAGACAGAGATTTCCGAGTAAAACCAAGAGAATAATCGAAATCAGCACACTCTGTGAGCTGCCTATTTGATCTGTGTTTTGCCTAAAAAAGACTCCAATACTGATCGCATCAAAAATCTTGCTCACGTGGCTGTTGCCCGGAAAAGTTGGACCTTCTCTGTTGTTCTGAATTATTTTTTCATTGATTAATGATTTTTTGATTTAACTTACGAGTATGGATCAGTTCTTGACTGATCGTTTGCTCTTGTTTTATTTGATGACATTGGGAATCTCCAGTTACTCGATCTCGATCTCCAGTCACTTTCAATTCCTTTCTGATTCCGATTTGTACATTTATTTCTAGAAAATGCATCGTTTTTTTGTTTTTGATCTGTAAAAAAACCTGAAGTCTCGGTTTTTGCTAGCAATATATGAGCACGAGACACAAATCGTGTTTTGCGGACCTTGACACGGAGCCTAAAGGGATTTTTGGCTTTTAATTTAAAGTCACTCGCAAAAAACTCGACAAGCTTGGCTGGAAACTTCTACCACATGCTTATTCTTCTACCACCTTATTCACCCGACCTAGCACCCCTCAGATTACCATTTGTTTCGATCGTTAAAGCAGTTTCTCTATGGAAAACTCTTCGATGATCCTGCACAAGTCAAAAATGCACTTGATTTCTACTTTGCTCAGAAGGACGCTCAGTTTTTTGAGAATGGTATCTAGGAATTGCGCAAAAGGAAGAATACCTTTTGGATTAATGTTCTTTTTTGCGTTCTATGAAATAAACAAGTTATTGTCTAAAACGATCGTTTATGACTTGCCAACCTAATACATTCGAATTTCATTTGTGCTGAATATCCGATTTCTAACTGAAATCTTGTCTCGAAAAGTCAAATGAAAAACTTTTCAAATCAATAATTGGTTTGATTAATTGGCTTTAATCGCAATCGCTTAATCTTAATTAGCTTAATCGCTTTAATTACTTTAATTACTTTAATCCAATCGCATTTCAGAATTATTGTGGCTTTGAGCTCTTAAAAGAATCTAAACTACTAAAGGAAATTAGAGTGTTCATTTGCAAAAGCAATGTCGCGCTTTCAGTACTTAAACAAACTTGATGTCTCAAAAAATCGAAAAGTTTTCAAGTGAATAAACAGCAGAAAGACATACCAACTCGTACTGGCCAGGCCAACACGTTTTGCAGCGTCGACAACGATATGTACCATCTTCGAACACTTCAATCCAAGTACCCTCAAAATAAATGCATGCTTTTATTTCATAAAAAAGCACACATATTTACACAATCCGGGAATTAGATCCTCGTCCAAAGGAAGATCATTTCTTCGGGCAGAGCTTGAAGTTGGATGGAAAATCTCAAAAGAACTGATCTATTTTTAAATGAAATAAATTTTTGTCCCAAATATCTTATCGTATCGATTGATTTCAAATTAAATACGTTGAAAAAGGTTTTTTTTACCGTTTCGGGTGCCAAATTATCGACCATTACTTTTATAGAGTCCAACGTACTCAAAGGCCTAAAGAAAAGTTTGATCTCAGCGATTTCTCAGAAACTTTTAAATACACGGTGGCTGAAAAATTCTGATACCTTTGGAAACAATTCTTTTTAATGGGAAATATTGAGAAACTTTTAAAATCATGTTGATTTTCAGATTCTCTACATATTTTTACATTATAAACCAAATTTTCAGCACACTAGCTCTATTCGGAAAAGTTTTACGCTAATTTCTTTCTGATGTGCGTTACTGCTCGTTGGTCGTACACTTATGGGCAACAAGGGGGAAAAGGAACGTCACTTATTTTACGATTTGTACCATAAAACCTCTTTTTTATTATCTTTTCTACTTAATTTCACTTTTAATATTAACTGAAAAAAGGTTTCATTAAGAAAAAAAGTACTGCAATATAATAGAATGGCACGCGACAAAATGGTACTTTTTATGTACTTAATGAGTAGTTTTTCCCACATTAACATCTCATAAAATTTGATTTATAATGTAAAAATATGTGGAGAATCTGAAAATCAACATGATTTTAAAAGTTTCTCAGTATTTCCCATTAAAAAGAAATGTTTCTTAAGGTATCAGAGCTTTTGAGCCACCCTGTAGCAGCAAATCGAAAGAAAAAGGATTTTTCGATGAATATACTGTACATAAAAAGTGTTTACTTTAAAAAGACTATTGATCATTTGCAACAAAAAAGAGTTTTCAAAGCTGACCCGGAAAACCATAGTACACGAGGCGAATCCCTTCTCAATAGAGCCACACTTCCCTCCGGAAACTCAAGGAAGCTCTCTCGGTTTTCTGTCGTTTTCAGTGTCACCACAGTTAGATGCGGATTTTGATGATAAGTGAGAGCAAGCTAAAGCGACCAAATATGCTGCCTAAGTAGAGCATTTTCTAAGCTACTTTTACAAGTTGCACAACAGTGTTTGTTTATAACGTTTATCAAAGTCATCCTACCGCAGCTCCAAGGCTTGACGTCTCATTCTGTTTCAATAACAAGAGATAGTTACCACGAATTTTGGTCCAAAGAATCGGAAGAGGTTCTTTGCTAAATTGTTACTTTACTCACGACTCAAGTTCTTCTAACTCGGAAATCAAAGAAAAGACTGGCCAGTCTGGTGCTTGATGTTGTTCAGCGTCTTTCATTACGAGCTCTGCCAAATCGAGAGGCAAAGTAGTGATATTTCGATAGGATCCCTGATATTCTTTGGCGTCTTCTTTAGTTGTGGCGTTGTATGGAAAATACTAAATTATTTGCTTTTTGAAAAATTGGACATATTAAAGACTAAATTTTTCCAGATTTCCCTAACCAGTTACCAGATTTCAAATAGTTCTTTTATGTTTTGTTGCTCGCGGGTTCAAGTCCGAGTACGAGTTTTTCATCTACCCTAGTTCCAACTAGCCGATTTTAGGACAAAATTGAAAAATTCAAATTTCATAAAACCAGATCTACTCATATTTACTACGACAAACCCTAAATGATGGATAGTATCTGACGTGTTCTTCACACAGACGCCCATTCTCATCGCAATTCACAACGGCCACTTTCACAATGGATTTCCAATCTCCGACCTCTCTAGAGAAATTTGAAAATGTTTAAACATTTGGGAGACTTTTTAAACCTGGCAAATTCGTTGTATATTGGCGCATAGCTCGAACAAACACTACACCAAGGAACGTAGAAGTGGACAAAGGTGGCGCTTTTCTTAATTTAATCAATTTGCTCCATTTGCTTGCTCCATTTCAATCGATCATATGATAGAAAGCATAGAAAAAGCGAATAAATTTGGTGCAAATGAATTTTTTTTTTTGGATTTTCTTCTGCATGCTAACCTGTCCATAAACGGTTTCATCAAAGTTCTCTCGGTTGAGAATCGTGACTGGATCCGCACCATCGTAGAGACGATAGAGTTCACAGTTTGTGTTCTAAAGTTTAGATTCTTTTTTTCAAAATACCGTATTTTCTCTACTAGTAAGAAACCCTGAGCGTCGACTCGAAATCTCGAAAAGCGTTTATCAGAACCTATCGATGTGGGACCGGAAAAAGTAGCTGACGATGGGTGCACTCTCTCTAATTTTGGTTCCCTATCTCCCTAGATTTGGTTCTTTACCTCTAGAGATTTGGTTCCTTATCTCTAGTGCGGGATTAGAGTGTTGAGCTTCTGCAAAAGCTTGGAAACCGTAAAATCGTCTCCAACTCGGCTGGGGTGCACTACTATCAGAGAAATTACGGTAATTGTTTTTTAAATCTCTTTTTAGCATCAACGAAATAAGCAAAAGCCTATTTTAAAGGTAATCTCACTTAAACTTTACTTTACAATGATTGCAATTACAATGAAAACTTTACAATAGTTCTTACAATGGTTCAGGTTCTAAAAGATCATCGATCTCTTATAAAAGATCACTTTTGCTTTAAAAAAACAAACCTTTAAAAAGAGAAACAAAAAGAAAACCGATAAAATCATTTGTTCAGCTCTATTAAAATGTAACGAATAATTTCACAACTTTTTTTTTGCGGGAATCTTTCAATGGCTCTTCGAAATAAACCCCCTGATAACAAACAATCGATTTGGAACAAGAAAACAAAGTTTTTTTTTTTTGATGTAAATGCTCTTTTTAATGTTTAAAAAGTTCTAGATTTTATTTATTAGATTAGAGTTGATTGTATGATCTCACAAGTTGACTTTCTTCTTCTTCTTCTGCTTTAGTAGTAGAGGAAATAGTAGATGAAATTTCAAGAAACTTTGAGGAGATAAACATTATGAGAGTCTTGTTCACAATAAATAAATTCAAACTTGAAAACAAGACCAATTTTAGGCTCATACACCACAGCCATTTTAATATTGATGTCAAAATCTTTGAATAAAAAATGTCAATCAAAAGCTTGCTTCTTAAAAGCTGTTCATTAAATGATTGGTAAATGATTCTACATAGAAAAGATTGGTGTCTAAAAATGAAAACATCAAGGAAAAAAATCAGATTCAAATAAGATCCAATAGGTAATTAATGACGACGATTATCGAAAAGGTTAAGCCGATAAGGCTGCGCCTCTGCTGGATTTTGACAAAGCAAGTTCGGGTCAACAAATCGATGACTAAGACCATTTGGAGATGGCCAATCACTCTGATTGAAGGAAAATAACTGTTTTGTTCAAAAAAGAGAATGGATTATAGTTGACGGGAATACAAGGTATTGTTGTAGCCTTGCGTTGAACGTTGGTTTGGTGAGATTGAGCAGCCCATCATCAGTGAGCTCAGGTCGTTTGTTGACTGACCTAAAGCCATACATACCTTTTTCAAATAAAAATGCAAAATACCGGCTCTAGAGCTATCGTAACCCTTGCGCACCCTCGCAACTAATGATCTCCCCACTCAGAAACCCCTTGATCCACTCAGAAACCCCTTGATCCACTCAGAAACCCCTTGATGACCATCCTTTCGATGAATCAGACTATCCTTTGAATGATCCATAAAAGGTGCCTCTCTAGAATATGATTAGAAAATAATTGGATTGGAGCAAATGATTGGAGCATGAAAGGAAACGGGATTCGAGAACTTCTTGCTTCTGGACACGAACTGGTTATAGTCATTTTTGGTCAGGTCTGCTAAAGCAAAAGCTTTAGTCTTCTAAAAATCTGCTCACGCACTCTTCTATTTGTTAGATTTTCCAATCCAAGAATTTTAATCATTGCTGCTTAACGAGACCGGGTCACATCATGATTAGCAGACCTGACCGAAAATGACTATAACCAGTTCGTGTCCAGAAGCAAGAAGTTCTCGAATCCGGTTTTCTTTCATGCTACAATCATTTGTACACGAAAACCAGATCAGCTTTTTCCTTTGTTTTTTTAGATAATTTGTAAAAATTAGACTCAATTTCAAAGTCAGAAACTCTCGCAAAAACCTCCTCATCACTTTATGATTCTAGGGTAACTAGAAAAGCTAGATGGGTAAATAACTACAACTTAACTGAATTAGAGTCAAAAATTTAAGCAATAAAACTTCTCTAAAAGCTCACCGCTCTCGCTTCCCAAATGTGTTGAAAGGGCCGATTTCCGGTGACCTTTTCAACATAAAAAAAATGGAATCCTTTCACTCTGCATAGGATCCGAAATGAAACGTTATACCCAAGCCGTTTTTGAATTTAAAATTCTAATAAAAAGGTAAAACATAAAAATCTGATTCCTGAGAAAAAGGATCAACCAACACATAGGTGAAAACACAATCAACCAACCAACACAACACACAACTCACAACCTTTGGAATCATGACTCATTTCTCAGCTTAGTGACAGAGAATCTTTGGTCGATCAGGTTAAAAGATTCACACTTGCCTTTTTACGCACAAAATTCTTTCAAAAAATTGTTTGATCATAAATATCATAAAGCATGATTAGAATCCATTTTCATCCTCCGTCACAAAACAGGCTAAGAAAGATTTGCGCTCCTATCGAGAAAGATGAGTGGCACTGATTTCTGACACGTTGCCATTTCTGGGTGTTCGTTAAATCATGTGGAATCCCTAATACGGTTTAAACCCAAATGTATGCAATGTTCGAGTATTATTGTATGATCAACTGATAACTCTTCTGCTATTTTACAAAAACAAAGCCTTTTGTTGGTTTGAAAAATTTTGAGCAACTTGGCATTATTTTGCTGAGCTGCCGAACTCAATTTGTCTTCGAAGATTCATCCCCAGAACGGAATTTAACAAACCAGTTTGCACATGTCCGTAGTGAAGCTGATCCTTCCACATCAACATCCCCAATATTAACTGAACAATAGAGGCCCTTGTGTCCTTGAAGAAATTCGTACAACATAACTTGTCGCAGATCTCCAGGTCGTAGATCTTCAACAGTTAGAGAAAAGTATAATAAAAATTCCAAAAATAAATATGTCAAAAAGTGAAAGTCTATTGTTTTTGCAAGGTTGTTCACTTATCTATTTTCCACAAACCCCTCTCCTTCATCTTTGTTTACATCTCTCGAATTTAATTTGAAAAAAAAACGTGCCCAGTCATGTCTTACCATGAAATTTATCTTTGTGGACAAGTTTACAAGGGAAATTACAGGGCTTATAGGGGCGGTCAATTGGGCTGTTTGCACGTACTCTGTATATGTATTCTTTGGTCGGTCGGCTATGAACTGTTTCGTCGATTTTAGTCTGCAAAAACTGAATGATCTGCACCAATCAACCAGGGTTGAATAGGCGATCAGTGTTTAGTTTAGCAATGAAGCTTTATTTCTGTACCTCACGTCATTTCTCGCCTATCGTTCTGTTTAACAAGCGACAATGCACAGGATATACACTAACCCAACTATTTTTGAAAAGAAATTCAAAGAAAGAAAATAAATTTTACCAGAAACTTTATCAATAATTTGTAGCAAAAAAAGTAAAAAGTTTACAACGGAGAAGTTTTTCTGAATATATTAATCCATTTGAATGAAGATATTACTTTTGTCATTGTTGCACTCCATTGACTTTCACAGTGACTCTTCCATCTGGATGATAGGTTTTCACCGTCACCGTCTTCACTCCATTACAGATTTGAGTCATCGTCTCGGTTCGAGTGCCACCTCCGCCTCCGCCTGGAAACAGAATTTTGCTAAACAGAATGCTCGCACTAAGACACAACATCCTGACAAGGGAAGGCCCAGCTATATTTGCTGGCCAAATCATATGAGCCATACCATTCGACGCAGAGTTTCACCCTGCTGATGATGCCTTTCTTTTTTGCTAGACAGAAAAAGACAATCAGCAACCAGACTAGAACAGGAAAGCCATCGACTTGTCTCCTAACTCACTACCACTCGGCCTCTGCTGCAAATGCTGAGCTCGCGGAAACCACGGTTGTAATGTAAGGAGTTTTCGAAACTCTTTGCAAAACTTTAAACGCGTATAACTTTTGACAGAGTGATGGGACTGATTAAAAGTACTATAACTCACATCCGCCCATTTGCGACATTTGGTTCATTTGCTGTTGCATTTGCTGTTGCATTTGCTGTTGCATTTGATGTTGCATTTGCTGTTGCCTGGGACAGGACATTTGGTTCATTTGCTGTTGCATTTGCTGTTGCATTTGCTGTTGCATTTGATGTTGCATTTGCTGTTGCCTGGGACAGGACATTTGGTTCATTTGCTGTTGCATAGGACAGGTGCTGATGGTCCGTCGGCTGCACATTGTTGCAGAAGAGAAGTTAGTTGTGCTTGAAAGTGAACTGAATTCAATGATCTCCACTGATCCGTGCTTCTTATATTCTGGTTCGTCTTATCTTTTCATATGGCAAAAAGCAGCGACGCCGTTCGGCGAGCCACAAAAGGTTTTTGAGTGGGCATTAGGAGAGGGCAATAAAGAGTCCAGTTAAATCGAATAAAAAATTCGTTGCGCCACCTCTGATTTCGTCTTCTCCGAGAATCTTTTTCGTTGTGGCAAGAATTTTACTTTTTTCTAGGAATTCTGCTCAATTGTGTTGCACTTTTCAGTTCTCTACAGCAAATATACAATGAGAATTGATAGTAGCAAGACAAGGAAGATGAGCGTTGATTTGAAGAGTTGATTCCATTTGAAACAATATTTTTACTGTTTCAATAAATCTAGATCAATCAATTGCAACAAAAAAGGAATGAGAATTCTCGGGAAAAATTTTTAAATAAACGTTAAACGTTTGTTTAGTAAAAATAACGTTAAAGTTTTTTTTATTTAAAATTAATTAGCGAAAAGATATGGGATCAAAAATGCTCCTCAAGAGAAGATTAATAAAAAAGGAACGAAAGTGGTTGACTTTCGATAAAAATTAATATTCTAAACTCCTTCAACAGACTTTCTTAATTTTTTGAATGTTCAATGTCGAAGATCTCAAAAAGTATTCTCTACAGTTAAAAAACGTTTCTATTCTTGCTGATGTCCTGCAATTAAATTGCAAATTATATTAGGTTGGCAACTTAATAATGACGCGTTTATGTAACAAATCATTTATTTCAAAAAAACACAAAAGAAGAGCTTTCAATTCGAAAGGTATTCTCCATTAGTATCTATGACTCCTTCCCATCTTCTGCGCAAATCCCGGATCCCATCCTCGAAGAACTTGGGAGTTTTTGAGGCGAAGTAGTCATTCACTGCTTTTATGACCTGAACATGATCATCGAACTTTTCTCCCTCCAAAAAGTGCTTCACCGACCGAAACAAAAAGTAATCTGAAGGAGCCAGATCAGGTGAATAAGACGCGTGGGGCAAAACTTTCCAGCCAAGTTCCTCGATTTTCTTATAAGTGATCTTTGCAGTGTGAGGTTTTGCGTTGTCGTGTAAAAATCTGACTCTCTCCGGTTTGAGCCCCAATTTCTTCAGAGACTCGTTAACTCTCATTAATTGCTTCGAATAAAGATCAGCATCGACGGTTTGGCCAGGTTTCAGCACTTCATAATGCACCAATCCCTTGAAGTTCCACCAGCAACAGAGCATTATCTTCT